TTAAACTTGTGATCCTCCTGACTTAGCCTCTCAAGTAGAGTTTCGATGGCATTCTATTAAGATGGAAGTGGAAAGGCAATTTCCTACAGCCCAATATTCTCATTGTTTTAAAGGAAAATAAATTTTAAAGCATTCTAATAAAGTGAATTGACAGTATCTTATTGAAAATTAATTATATTGTCAAAGTACTTAATATTTGTATTTTATAAATATAGTTTGCCTATTATTGCCTTACTTCCTTGGATTTTTTTCCCTCTGCAACTGAGAAGCTGCTTTGATTACAGAACAGTATACAGAGGTTTCCATTTTGGCTCTGAGTAGGAGGTTGCTATTTATATGATTCAAAAAATTGTAGACAGATTTTAGTTTTTAAACTAAGGAAAAATCAGAGTGGTGATATGTCAAATGAATTCAAGCAGAAATGGAGCACTCTTTGATTCTTATGTAACAAGAAGGAAAAACCCCCAAACTCCAGCCTCCCATATTCTCAGCCCCTGGGGACTTACTCGAGAGAAGAGGAGCACATTTTTCTATCCCTTTTTCATGGCTTATAAAGGACTGGTAGGGAAATAATTTCTTCCTACAAATTTTTATTAAAAAACTATAACTTCAACTTTTTAAATTATTAATCCTTCTGACTAAGAGTACATGGAACTTTTGATTAGAGAGAACTTAGGGTTTTTGCCTATGCTCATAAGTGTTTCAACTGGCAAAAGAAAAAAAAAGAGATAAAATTGAGGGTAGAATGCTAGCAACTGTGGAAAATAAATAAAACAATGAGATACTTGCTGAGATAAACTCGCCGGTAAGAAATGGCTGGAGATAGGGATGGCTCACAGAAATGCCAAGTATAATTGTCTGAATATGCTCCCATGCACTCAGGTGCAGAATTGTCAAATCATTCCCCCAACATACTATTTGGGGAGGTGGGAGTGGAGTGTGGGAGTTTCTAAATGCTTGCACATTTAGAAATCTGGAAATTTGGGGAGGGTCTCTGGTCTTCAGTTGGTTGCTACTGAGAATAGATAATGGTTACCATCAAGCCTGCCTTACCCATTCAAAGGCTAGTGACTGACTTGTCCATACCAGGTTTGGTAAGGGATCTTGGGCCATGATTCCTGTCATGGGTTAAACTGTAGACCTCTCCCAAAAAGATGTGTTGAGGCCCTAACCTCTGGTACTTCCAAATGTGACTTTATTTGGTAAAAGAGTCTTTGCAGATATAATTTGTTAGGATAAGGAAGGTCAAAGTGGAATAGCATAGGTCCCTAATCTATGACAGGTGTCCTTATTAGAAGATGTCCATGTGAAGACAGAGATACTCAGGAAGAATGCTTTGTGACCATGAAGGCAGAAATTAGAGTTGTACATGTGCAAACCAAGGAATTCCATGGATCTGGCATGTCATCAGAAGTAAGAAGAGGCAAGAAAGAAATCCCTTCTAGATTTCAGAGGGACAATGGTTCTACCAACACTATTTTTTTTTTTTTGGTACTGATGTTGAACCCAGAGGCACTTTATCACTGAGCTACATCCCCAATCCTTTTTTCATTTTTTATTTTGAGAGAGGGACTTAAGTTGCTTCAGCTGGCCCTGAAATTGTGATTCTCCTGTTTCAATCTCCCAAGTCACTGGGATTATAGGTGTGTACCACCTGCCCAGCTGCTTCTGCCAACATCTTGATTTTAGACTATTAAAACTTTCAGAACTATGAGACAAAATATTTATGTTGTTTAAAGCATCCCAGTGTGTGGTACTTTGTTATGGCAGTCCTAGGAAAGTAACACAGATCTCAAGGCTATGGTATTTAACATTTAGTTACCAGGTATCGCCACTCCATCATCCCCTTGGAAGTTGTTACAACAGGGGTAACATCTGGGGGTGGGGTATGAATATGCCATACTCTTTCTTTAAGCCAAAGCTTGAGTCTTCTTCCTTTTTCCTTCAGAAGTGGCCCAGCTTATTCTCCATGAAAGGATCTAGTCACAACAGCTATTTACTTGTTTGGTGGAGTTACTGGGAATGTAAAAAGACCTTGGACCTTAAAAACACAATACGCTTCTCTTTCTTATATTAGTGAGAGGGATCAAGAAATTATTCCTTCCTTGTGAGGTTATAATGATTGAAGGAAATCAGTAACATCAAGAAAAGAGCCCACTGATTTTTTTCCTTAATAATTTACCCTGCTGTGTTAGTATGCTAATGTTCACTGTCTGTGCTTGTCCCAAAGACAATCTCAGTTGTCCCAAACCTTTACTGGAAGGTTTGCATGAGCAACAGGGGGTATAAGAAACACAGAGGTATAGGAAAGTATGACCTTCTATCAACATCCTTGATGCCCTGGCCACTACATCAACATCAGCAGCCCACCCAGAGGAAATGGATGGTGGAAAAGTGGGCAGGGCTATGAGCTACAGATGAGAAAGGAGGACACATCTTCACTGAGGACTAATTCATAGAATGTCCTGTTACAAAACCCCCTTTCGGGCATGCTGCTGTAAGGCGACCCTCAGGGGGATGAAGGAGTATTCATTTGGGTTACAGTTACATTTTAAAGTTAGCATGTGACTATTTGAAAGACTGTACCTGAATATTGGGAAACTATGAAAGATTTATTAAAGGAACAGGACACTCCCAAAGAATCTCGTCTCCACTTTTCCAGAGGAAATGAACTGGAAATATAATGCATAATCAAAGAGAACTGAACTGATGATAATAACAATCTTCCTGAATGCAAAAGATAAAATTTTCAATATATTCCCTAAAATCCATGAAATCATTGCCTTTGATCTTCAAGAGTAATCTATAAAACTGCAGAAGTGAGAACCAAGGGTTACCAGCCTACTTATAAAATGTTTAAATTCTGTGTAATTTTTTTAAAAAATCTATGTAATTTTAAATCTAAAATATATTCCTTGAAATAAATGACTACAGACATAATATTCTTCACTTAAGATATAACAAAACCTTAAGAGAACAAGATCTCTTCCCCTTTTTTTTCTTTTGACTTGCAATCAGATCAGTTGGTTCTTTCTGAGAAAACAACATGATTTTTTTTAAAAAAAAATTAATTAATTTCCAGTATCTCTGACCAGTGTTTTCTTCATGCTGATAACCCCTCCTCCTAACCACCCAACCCAGTCAGGTTGCCCTGCTAGGCATGCATTCTCTAAAATTTGCTTTAACTCCTTTACATCAAAACTTATACATCTGGGCTGGATGTGGGTATGGTGGTACACACCCATAAACCCAGCTACTTGGGAGACTGAGCCAGGCGGATTGCAAGTTTGAGGTCAACCTGGGCAACTTAGTGAAACTCTGTCTCAAAATAAAAAAGGCAGGGCTAGGGATATAACTTGTGGTAAGGAGCCCTTGGATTCAATCCTCAATACTAAGTATATATAGTTGTAGATATAGATATATAATGCTCAGTACTAAATACATGGTCACATACAAACAGTTTAGGACTGCTTCAGAATATCTCAGAGAGAAGAAAAAGTGTGTGTAAGAAGATAAACAAAATTAATAACTTGATAAATTTTGATAATTCTTAAAACTTGGGTGATGAGTTCATGTTCTTTCTACTTTGGTATATTTTAAATTTTCCATAATAAAAGCTTATTCAACAATACAAAAATGGTACATCTGGTCTAGTTCCATTGATGATTCCTTAATGTCAAATGGTAATGAATATATTAATATAATTAGCACATTCTAATGAGTTACACATGTTAACTTGCATCTTAGTATCTTAAACTGCATCTAGAAGGACAATTGGAATTGAGTCTAATGTGATGAATATTATAAAAGTTAGGGGGAAAAGTTTGGGGGAAAAAGTTTTGGAAAAGGGCTTAGATTAAATCATGGTATATAGGTCTTGAGTAGATTCTGAGCATGACCTAAAAATTGTATTTTGTACTCATATTTTGAAGGCAAAAATAGGAAATGTCTTATGCTTCAATTACTGAAATAGTTATACCATTTCACACCTCAGCATCTTTCCTGTGACCTGACCCTGGAGAGGTGACCTGTCTCACTGATTGCCTCCACTGGGACTGGCGTGGAAGTGGAGGTGGGAGGTTTGGCAGGAAATTAGCAGCAGCTCATTTACCTACTAGTGATCATCTCAGTCAGGCTGCAGCATGCCAGAAGAGGCAGCTTTGCTTCAGCAGAATATCTGAAAATGTCAGTCTTATTCCTTTTCTGCAATTATTTTTACCCTTTACATTTTCATTATTCTGAATTTTGGAAAGTATCTGAGTGTGGAAATGAGTCCAGTTTTTTTTCTTTATTCTGTTATTTTGGCATTTGCTGTACCTGTAAATTAATTCCCATTTCTAGTAAATTATTTTTTATTTCTCAATAAAAATTAAACACAAATAATTTGGTATGTTCTAAATGAATTGAATGGTTTTAAAAAGTAAATGGGGTCAGGTTTACATAGTTGAGCTTGTGGCTCAACTTACATGCTTATAAAATGATATTAAAGACAGGGCTAGTCTCAGGCATTTTGAGAATATGTTTGTTACTAGTTAAAATTCTTCCTAACTTGACACTTCCAGCTCTCTCCAGCCCTTTCTACTTCTTTCGTGCAGCACCTTAGCTTGTCCTGCCTTAGCCTCATCTTTCTCAACCATATTCTGCCATTTGTTTTGTTTGAGACAGTATTTCACTATGTTGGCCAGGCTGGTCTCAAACTCCTCAGCCTCCTAAGTAGCTGGGACTATATAGGTGCACACCACTATACCTAACTGGTAATCAATTTCACCCTGCAACTCAAAGTGGTACTTTTTGCTAGGTTTCTCATATTGACATTAAAAATCTCAGAAGGTTCCAAAGCTTTCATTAATTTGAGTGATTTTGAAAAATAATGCATTTTTATTAAATAAATTCCTACAAGTTTTGGGACAACACATTTTTATAATTTAAAGTCTAAAAACTGAGGGGCGGGGCGCGGGGTGGTGCAAGGAGAAGAAATCTCGCGAGAGCGGAGCCACCGGGGAGCGGGTGGCACCTCTTCCCTCCTCCTCCTCGCGTTAGTTCCGGTTGCAGAGGAGACGTCGCTGCAGTTGCCGCCACATCGGGGATTTCTGGCTCTTTTCTCTTCGCCTTAAATTCGGGTCTCTTTTATGAATAATCAAAAGCAGCAAAAGCCAACGCTATCAGGCCAGTGTTTTAAAACCAGATAAAGAGATGAAAAAGAGAGGTTTGACCCTACTCAGTTTCAAGACTGTATTATTCAAGGCTTAACTGAAACTGGTACTGATTTGGAAGCAGTAGCTAAGTTTCTTGATGCTTCTGGAGCAAAACTTGACTATCGCCGATATGCAGAAACACTCTTTGACATTCTGGTGGCTGGTGGAATGCTGGCCCCAGGTGGTCACTGGCAGATGACAAGATGCGTACACATATCTGCGGGTTTGCAGCACAAGAAGACCTAGGGACCATGCAAGCATTTGCTCAGGTTTTTAACAAGTTAATAAGGCGCTACAAATACCTGGAGAAAGGTTTTGAAGATGAAGTAAAAAAGCTGCTGCTGTTCTTAAAGGGTTTTTCAGAGTCGGAGAGGAACAAGCTGGCTATGTTGACTGGTGTTCTTCTGGCTAATGGAACACTTAATGCATCCATTCTTAATAGCCTTTATAATGAGAATTTGGTTAAAGAAGGAGTTTCAGCAGCTTTTGCTGTAAAACTCTTTAAAAAATCATGGATAAATGAAAAAGACATCAACGCAGTATCTGCAAGTCTTCGGAAAGTCAGCATGGATAACAGACTGATGGAACTTTTTCCTGCCAACAAGCAAAGCGTTGAACACTTCACAAAGTATTTTACTGAGGCAGGCTTGAAAGAGCTTTCAGAGTATGTTCGGAATCAACAGACCATAGGAGCGCGCAAGGAGCTCCAGAAAGAACTTCAAGAACAGATGTCCCGTGGCGATCCATTTAAGGATATAATTTTATATGTCAAGGAAGAGATGAAAAGAAACAACATTCCAGAACCAGTTGTCATTGGGATAGTCTGGTCAAGTGTAATGAGCACCGTGGAGTGGAACAAAAAAGAGGAGCTTGTAGCAGAGCAAGCCATCAAGCACTTAAAGCAATACAGCCCTCTACTTGCTGCCTTTACTACTCAAGGTCAGTTTGAGCTGACTCTGTTACTGAAGATTCAGGAGTATTGTTATGACAACATTCATTTCATGAAAGCCTTCCAGAAAATAGTGGTGCTTTTTTATAAAGCTGAAGTCCTGAGTGAAGAGCCGATTCTGAAGTGGTATAAAGATGCACATGTTGCAAAGGGGAAAAGTGTCTTCCTTGAACAAATGAAAAAGTTTGTTGAATGGCTCAAAAATGCTGAAGAAGAATCTGAGTCTGAAGCTGAAGAACGTGACTGAATTTTGAAACTACATCCTCAGTAAAGCAAACAGGAGTTGTAGATAAAATGTCATGTCTCATGTGTCCTGGTTCTTACATCTTCCTACTTCCCTATATCAAGCATAATATAAGGGCTTTCATGGCAAATTTTATTTGAACTGTTTCTATGGTTATTGGAAATGTTGGGTTTAGTTTCTAAAACCATGTTTTAAGTAGCTACAGGAGCTATAGATTTGAATCTAATGTTGCATTAGTCTTTTCAGTTATCTTCTACCTCCTGTATTTTCTACTGTAATAATGTAATTTAAGGCCTTCCACAATGAACAGTTCACTTTATTCCCTGGGTTTTCTATATATAAACAGTTTTCAAGATATGATTTGGTTAAAAATAATTTGTTATAAAAATTCTGTTTGCAAATTAAACTGTAAAAGTATCCAAAGTTGAGAATGTTAAGAGTCAGCATGTTCTAATTGGGGATCTGAATTTAACTTATATTTCCTTTTGGCTTAGAGCATTTGTTCCAAAGAATGAAGTACAATAATTGTATATTCTCACTTGGTCGTACTGGACTGGCTTCATTCTCTTAGTACATTCAGTAATGACTCAAGCATCTGGCTGTTAATGTACCCTAGTTGCCAACTCTTAATTGCCATGAGCCAAATATTTCTTCTATGTGATTAATCCATTTATTTTAATGGCTGCCTTTTAATTTTTCATCTTTTTATTTTCTTGCTGCTGGCCATCCATGTATGTAGTCATTAAGGGGAAAATATTACAACATTTTTGGGTGGAAAGGCATTGTGTTATAAGTGAATGTTTTGAAGGATGTTTTAATTGAAAGAAACTAGCCTGGAATATGGCACCAGAGATTGAGTGGAAATTACCCCTTTTGAAGGTGCCATTCTTATTAGCCAAGAAGTTGGTATTTAAACATTCATCTTGAGGGAATAATGTGTAATATATAATTTGAAATAAAGTTATAGTGACCTTAAGAAGAGCATTATAACAGATAACATTGTGGGAATGGGGTGATTTTGTTAAATGAATAACTTGGATAAAGTTTTCATGTGCAGGCAAAATGTATTCACTAGATTTCTACATAGTGATCTGCTTTTACTTTGTAATTTGTAGTCCACAAAATACTTTTTTTAAAAAAATAAATTCCATCTTTACACTTAGGTTTTATAGATTAGCCTTTTTCTTTGTTTCTAAATTTCATTTTAATACCTAGTAGTGTACTGTATGTTGTGTGTTTAGATGTCTTTACTGTATAAGCATTAAATAATTCCTCCTTTCATCCTTAAAACTCCCAAATTGTAAACACCTACACAGAATTATGATGTAGCTGAAACTACATTGACATTTTTACGACCAAATCATTGCATGTTATTGCCGTACAAAGTGTACCCTGTTCTATTATATACTGTGTATAGTGAAACAGTGTGTAGTCTTCCAGAACTACATTTTGATCTTTGATCATAGTTTTTTTTCTTCATAATGACACAGTAGTGTTTAATTACTACAGTATTTAGTAAATGGATAAGTCATCTGTGAGTATGATATGAAGAAAGGGAATGCTTTATAAAACAATTGCAGATTTTCATTTTGAATTTTAAAACTCAGCTGCCAGTGCCAACCTATGGCCTCAAATATGTAATTCTTAATAAAGATGTTAAACTTGTAAAAAAAATTAAGTCTAAAAACTACTTCTAATAGTTTCTAAATTAAGACAAGTAGCATTATATATTATGTCCAAGTGTTTTTGACTTAGAATTATTTATTCCATATTACTTGAGGGGCCCATTTGGCTCAGTTCTAGGATACTTAGCTCAATACTTAGATAACTGTTATTAGAGTATTCTGTCAAAGAAGGAAACAAATCTTTCTGAATGGTGATTGAGACTCAGGCTGTGGAGCTAGGGTTGTGGCTCAGTGGTAGAGCGCTTGCCTAGCATGTGTGAGGCACTAGGGTTCAATTCTTAGCACCACATATAAACAAATAAATAAATAAAGGTTTACCAACATCTAAAAAAATTTCTAAAAAAAGACTCTTACTGTGGGAAGTAGAAAGAAGTTCAGTCAACAGGCTTAACATAGTATACAAAATTATAACAATAAGAAGTAGGTATTAGAGTACACATTTGTGGCTCCACAGGGAAGAGAAATTCACTATTAAGTAACAGAAACAATATGATATGCAGACAGAATATGGCAAGAAGGAATCCAAGAACACCAGCTACTTAACCCTTGATGATCAATAGGGAAAAAATGGCTCTAAGTAGTAGGACTTAGTTTCTCTTAAGAGAGACCATGACAAAGAGTTTGGCAGAGTGTATCTCCAAAGTATTTTACATACAAATAATAAAAATAAGGACCCAGTTACTCAAATTACAAGAAAAGATGGGGACAAGGTCTTAAAACCAGTGTAATCATTGCTCTAGAAATTCAAAGTCCAGTTCTTCGGTAATAGAACTTGAATACTTCATCAGTTTTCTATATTGCTGCCTAAAGAATTACCACAAATGTAACAAGAAAAAAAATTGTACCTTATGATAAGACTTCTGCATAAACAACTGAAAAAAGTATCATGCAAATTGATAACAAAAAGACCAACATCCAAAAAAGACAGCAAAATACAAGAAAAATAAATTAGCAGAAGATGTTTTCAAAAGGCTGATAACCAGGAAAAAAATTCAACATCACTTGTGACTTGTGTTAAACAGCACTTGTGGAAGTGAAGAATAAAATTTCAAAATACCATTTTTGGCTATGAATCTATTAGTATAACAGCTAATACTAAAGGATAATAAATATAGATAATTTTTGTTTTCTTCTTTTGTTTTTCTTTTCTAAATTTTCCTCAGTTAGCTCATAATACTTCTTAATAACTTTCTTTTTAGAAGTAATATATTCATTTGTTTTTTAAAAAAATAGAGCTTCTAAAGGAAAACAACAGTCCCTGTCTAGGCAATTCACCCCCAGAAGCAAAAATTTAGAGTGCTTCTAGTTGATTCTTCTGTATTTAGTTCCATATTTCTAAATACTATATGTATATTACTCTGGATATATCAATTTTAGTAATTATTTATTGATGTATTATTAATGATTTATAGATTCAGCTCTTTAACACTATTGTTCTCAGCCTACTTCTTTCCGAAACCTCTTCATCACAGGTCTGCCATAATGAGAAGTCTCCATTTGGAACTGTTTGATGTAAGAATACCCTACCACAGCTGATGTCACTGCTATCACTGTCCCTTGATTCCACAAAGCTAGTGACTAGATACTAGATTGCTGCTGTAGATAAGTCCAAAGTCTTCACAGCTGTACCAGCCAGCCATAAATACTAACAGCAGGAAAACAACCCTGCCTCACATTCCCTTTTAAACTGCAACAAGTGCACCTAATTGACAGACCTTTTGCACACAGCACTTTGACTAGAAATGTAATTTCTGGGGGCTGGGGTTGTGGCTCAGCGGTAGAGCACTCACCTGGCACCTGAGAGGCCCTGGGTTCCCCCCTCAGCACCACATATAAATAAATAAAACAAATGTACTGTGTCCAACTATAAATAATATATATATATATATATATTATTTATATATATATTATATATTATTTATATATATATATGAAATGTAGTTTCTGGCATTCTAACTCCTACAAAATGGAAACGTTCCCCAGATAGGTGGAATAGAGGACAAAGGCCAAGCTACACAATTACTACAGTACAGATGTACAAAAGGGCAGTGTTCTGTATAACATCCATAGGCGGATGAGGAGTAGCTATAATGACCTGGGATGGTCAGTGTGTTATGGTTCTCCAGAGAAATAGAACCAGTAGATCAAATATAGATACTTAAGAGAGTATTTGTTACAGAAATTGCTTCCAGTGATTGGGGAGGCAGAGAAGTCCTATAGTATGCCATCTGCAAGTTGGAGAACCAAGGAAAATTATTATTTCTGAGTCTGAAGACTTGAGAACTTGAGGATGTAAGGCACTCGGGTAAAGTCCCAGAATCTGAAACTTCAAGAATCTATAATTCTGATTCTTTTCTGGGCAGAAGATGACAGATGTCCCAGTTCCAGAAGAGCCACTCCCTTCTCTGCCTTTTTGTTCTATCCAGGCCCTTAACAAATTAGATGATGCCACCCACACTGATGAAGGCAGATCTTTACTCAGTCTACTGATTCAAGTGTTAACTTCTTCTAGAAACACCTCACAGACACCCAGAAATAATACTTTACCAACTATCTGGGGATCCCAGTCAAGTCAACATCTAAAACTAAATATCAGAATTAATTAACTGCAAAAGCATTGAATGTATGACATAACTGGTTTGTTTGTTTTATTTTGAAAGAAAGAGGGCATTTCTCATACCTAATTTATAACTAGCTTTATTTCACAAAGAATTGGAGGAAAAGAAAAGAGATGAAGTAATGATAGAAAAGGCAGGAGGTATTATAGTCAGCATCAAACTACATACTGTGAAATTAAAAGATACGGATTGTTTTGCCTAGTTGAACATTTGGTATATAGGTATAGTTGATGATAGAGGGTTGTGACTCATATAATGAAAGGTTCAGATTTGATATGAGACACCCACTCAGAAGTCCTGACATTTTTGAGCAGCAGAATAAAAATGAGAGAATAAGTATCAAAACAAAATCTTATAAGAGCATTTTAGAAAATAAGGAATCCAGCTGAGTCACTGACTTGGGATGAGATAAAATATGAAACTTTTCTGGCAAACAAAGAATCCAAATTTTATATACCTTTACAGTTGTAGATTCCAATTTGAATAGTGTGATCTCCTGTGCTAAAGAATATAAAGTGCTTTAAAATAATGGTTACAGTCCACATTCTATAACATCTCAGTGTATAAATTTTTATTTTTTCCACCAAAAGGGGACACTTACAGACAAGTCCTGTTAACAAACAACCCTAGTTTTCCCTTTGTGCATGTTGTCCATTTCCCATATTGTAAGTTGCTTTTAAAAACGTTCTTGATTTTCATCTTCTCACATCTGCATCAACAAACTCCCTTCTTAATATATGACTCCATTTACTAGAATTAGCTGATTAAGAGTACTTGAGGTTTCATGTCTTCAGACAAGCTTCTGCTTGCTGAAGTTAAGAAGTATAGGTCCTAAACATATCTAAATCTTATTTTAAAAGAATATAGGATGGGGGCTGGGGTTGTTGCTAAGTGGTAGATCACTTGCCTTGCATGTGTGAGGCACTGGGTTCAATTCTCAGCACCGTGTATAAACAAATGAATAAAATAAAGGTCTATTAACAACTAAAAGGAAAAAAAAAGAATATAGGATGCTCAGAAAGACCCTATCTCTAAATATAATATTAAAAAGGGCTGGGGTGGGGGGTGGCTTAGTGCTTAAGCATACCTGAATTCAATCCCTGGTACAAAAAAAAAAAGAATAAAAAAATATAGGATATTCATGTTAATTAACCAATGCTATGTAAAAGACACAAGAATAAATTATAGGCTCAAATCCTCAATCTTTATGGAAGCATTCTTCAAATAAGCAGAAATCTATATATGTTTAGCATGTTGTAAGGATTAAATCTTATTTTTACATTTACATATTATATTTTATATATTTTACACATCTGTATTGTAAGCTCCAATCAAACTGATTCTTAACTAGTTTTCTTGGAAGAATGGTAGCGGACAAATAACATTATGTATGCCCCCAACCATATCTATACATGATAGTTCCACTAAAATGTAGTTGATGTTAAATTTTAATGAACTGTCCATAATGAAAAGTTTTATTTTATTTTTTTTCCACTGAGAATTTAACCCCAGTACTTTACCTCTAAGCTACATCCTTTACCATTTTTATTTTGAGATAGGGTCTCACTAAGTTGCTGAGGCTGATCTTGAACTTGTGATCCTCCTGTCTCAGCCTCCCAAGTGTGCCACAGTGCCTGGCTAATTTTGCCCTTTCTGAAGATTATCAAAATACTCAAGGAGCCATGTAGCTTATGACCTAATAATAATAATAAATCCATTACATTTTAAATTTTCATATAGATTTGATTAATTATTATAGA